GAAACAATTACAATCCAAACTTCAGAAACACATATGATCAGAACTTTAACCCAAACTTTGGTAGAGGTAGAAGGCGTGGCAAAAACTTCTTTAAACAAAGAGTCATTTGTCAAGTATGTGGAAAATCTGGACATATAACATTACAATGCTATCACAGATTTGACACTTCATTCCAAGGAGGACAAAATCATGGAACATTTTCACCTCTAGGAACTGAAATTCTACCACAAAACACTCAGTCAGCTCATCAAGCTTACTTTGCTACCGCAAACATGAATACTTTAGGAAATCCAGCACAGGTTGACAAATTAGTGTACTTTGGATATGCTCAACCAAAGTTCCACAACTTGAATCCAAATAGTCACCAACAGTTTAACAACAATAATCACCTAATTGTCTTACTAGAGTCAGCACAAGGCCTAAATGTTGCCTCTCAACAACCTGAAACCTTCCAAAATGTGGGACAATATCCCTTTGGATCATCATCTCAATTGCAGAACATTGCCTCCCCAACCACTGTGACAAATCCTAGCTGGTACATTGATTCTGGAGCCACACATCACATCACTACTGATCCACAAAATCTCTCATTCAAAACCGATTACTCTGGAGCAGAATAGCTACAAGTCGGCAATGGGAAAAATTTGTCCATATCTCATATAGGTTTGATTACTCTATCTCCCACATCAAGAAATAAATCTTTATATCTCAAAATATTCTCTATGTACCTAATGTGGCAAAGAATCTACTTAGCATCTCTAAGATTACTAGAGATAATAATGTCTTGGTAGAATTCTCAGCTGATGTTTGTGTTGTAAAGGATAAGGCATCTTAAGAAATTCTACTCCATAGATTTCTTCAAAATGGTCTTTATAAGTTAGCCATTCCTATCCACGCATCATCACCTGCAACCACTGATTCCAGATGAAAGCTTCAAAGTTCTCCAATGAGGTCCTTCCTTGCATCATCTAAAGAATCAATAATGAATAATGAGCAGTCCACTTGTAAGCTCTATACATGTTCAAAATCAGTCAACATCAAATAAAATTATGTTGTTATGGCATTGGCATTTGGGTAATCCTAATGTAGCTGTGTTAAAATCTGTTATGAATCATTTACATGTACCTATCTCTGAAAGCAATAAAATTGATCTATGTGAAGCCTGTATCTATCCTTTCCCTCTTCCACAACTGCTTCTTCAGCGCCCTTTGAAGTAATCTTTGCCGATGTATAGGGCCTACACCCATAGTTTCCTCCATAGGATTTAAGTATTATCTACTGCTAGTGGATGACTTCACTAGATATTCATGGATTTATCCATTAAAATACAAATCAAAAGTCAGCTTAGCTGTTCAACAATTTCATCAGCTTGTTGAGAAACAATTTGACACCAAAATCAGAAGCTTTCAGAAGCTTTCAATCTGATTAGGGTGGAGAATTTCGACCATTGCTCTCTTACTTTTCGTCTCATGGAATTCACTTCAGACATCCATGTCCCCATGTACATCAACAAAATGGCAAGATAGAGCGCAAACATAGGCATGTCACTGAGATTGGTTTGGCCCTCCTAGCTCAGGCTTTTATGCCACTCTCCTTCTAGTGGTTTGCGTTTCATAGAGTCGTTTATCTCATCAATAGACTGCCATAAACTATTGTAAATCATCAGTCTCCCTTTGAGAGACTGTTTCATAAATTGCCACGCTATGCGTCATTACGCACCTTCGGATGTCTATGCTATCCCTTCATAAGGCCTTACAAAAACACAAGTTTTCATTCCACAGTGAGCAGTATGTATTCCTTGGGTACAACTCCCATCATAAAGGGCACCTCTGTTTGAACAAATCCAGCAAAGTTTACACAGCCCAAACTGTCAAGTTTGATGAAGAAGCCTTTCTTTTTGCAAATGGTTTTTATCTCACCTCTACCAACTCAACTTCATCCCATCAACTAACACAACTCCCCTCTTGGACCATTCCATCATCCCTTCCTAATGCTCATAATAGTGCATCAGACAACTCCTCTACACCATCAGTCACGATTACTCCAGGATCACCACTCTTTTCTGCTACTGCCATGCCTTAGTCTCAACAATCCTCTTATAGCATTCAGTCTCCTCAAACTATTTCCTCCAGTACATATTATCTCGGCATTCCCTTATATGTAGACTTGCAGATACCTACTAATACTACTGATCCTCCAATTCAGAATCACCATCCTATGATTACTCAGGCAAAGGCAGCTATGTTGATAGCCTCTTCTCTACCTTTTTCCTCTCCAGAACATGTTTCCACTTCAATAGCCCTACAAGATTCAAATTGGCACCAAGCAATGGTTGATGAATACAATGCTCTTTTAACCAACAACACATGGTCTCTAGTCCCATACTTCGATGATATGAACGTTATTGGAAATAAGTGGGTCTTCCATGTAAAATACAATGCTGATGGGAGTCTACAGAGGTACAATGCCAGACTTGTGGCTAAAGGCTTTCATCAAACACCCGGGTTGGATTATCTAGAGACTTTCTCCCCTATTATCAAAGCATCTACTATCCACATTATTCTTTCCTTAGCAGTTACTCATGGCTGGCAACTCAAGCAAATTGATGTCAATAACGCCTTCTTAAATGGAGACCTGGCCGAAAATGTCTACATGGCTCAACCTGAAGGATTCATCAATTCTGAGTTTCCTCAACATGTTTGCAAACTCAACAAGGCCCTCTATGGTCTGAAACAGGCCTTTAGGGCCTGGTTTGATAAACTCAAAGGAGCTCTTACAGACTAGGGATTCAAGAATCCTACCTTTGACACCAGCCTACTTTATTATACACATGGACCAGTACCAATTTACATGTTGGTTTACGTTGATGATGTAGTCATCACTAGACCTGATAGCCATTTGATTCAATGTCTAGTCATTGATTTAAACCATACCTTTTCCTTAAAATATCTTGGTGATTTGCACTACTTCCTAGGTATTGAAGTTGTTCGTACAGACCATGGCCTACAACTCAATTAGCGGAAATATGCGCATGATTTGTTGTTAAGAACTCAAATGTAGAACTGCAATCCATGTGTCACTCCCCTAGTTGTCGGCTTCAAGCTTAGCATAGAAGATAGCCATTTCTTTGATCAGCTATCTGTATATCGAAGCACAATTGGTGCTTTTCAATACCTTACCCTGACCAGACCCGATCTATCCTCTATCGTAAATAAGCTCAGCCAGTTTCTCAAGGCTCCCTCTATCAACCACTGGCAAGCATGTAAGCATATTCTTTGGTATATTCAGGGTACATCTGACTATGGTTTATACTTGCACTCTGGTGGCAATCTGAAACTTGAAGGCTATGTCGATGTGGACTGGGCAAGTAACCTCGTTGATCGTCGCTCCACAAGTGGCTATTGCATCTATCTTAGACCAAATTTAGTCCAATGGAGCTCAAAGAAACAACATGGTGTCGCCTTGTCTTCCACCGAGGCTGAGTATCGTGCTCTTGCTCAAGCCTCCACTGAGATGGCATGGATGCAAAACCTTTTTCAGGAGTTATGCATTTCCTTATCTTCATCACCAATCCTTTGGTGTGACAACACTAGCGCTACTGCCCTAGCCTCTAATCTGGTGTTTCATGCTCGCACAAAACATATTGAAATCGATGTCCACTTTGTGCATGAAATGGTCACCTCAAAACGATTGGTTGTCCAATATGTCTCCTGTGAGTTTCAAACAGCTGATATCCTCACCAAGCCACTCTCGGGTCCCAAGTTTCATTTGCTTCATGAAACTCACTGTTCTCCCCACTTCTTCTACTACTCCATCCAAGTTCTGTCTGAGGGACGATAAGGAGGGTCATCCAAAACTTGAATCGAAGCACGTTGATAATAATAGCGAAGAAATTTGATTTCATAGCAGCAATATTTTTCAAGTCAAATCAGTTCAGATCAACCTTTTGAGTCCAACATTGGTGGAGGGACGATGATACTCTATTAACAAAAGGTAACGATGAAAATCCAAAACTTTGTTGATTCTTGTTTGAGTTGGCTTGAAGGAAGATATTGAGAATGCAAGCTGCACTCAAACAACAAACGAATGCTAGATTATGGATTGTTAGTGACTGCTACTTTCCAACAAACTGAAACTACAAAAGGTTGTTATGATTCCTGCCCAAAGTCAAGTTGCAAGTCAAGTGGTATAAGGTATTTAGGCAAGTTGATCTCCTTCCCAACAAAATCAATGGCAGTCAAGGCCTCTTTGCTTTCTATTACTTTCAGTATAAAAGATTACCAATTTTTCATTCTAAATTTTTTTCCTTTTGAGTTAAGAGACACCTTTTATAGTATTTAAAAAATAGGTTGGAGTCGACTAGACACGTTCAAGTTTATTGGTTTATGAGAGGGTAATTTTCTAATTCAATAAGACCTTATTGGGTGAGATGTTAGACCCACCTTAAATTTTATCATGGTATCAAAACTTAGGTTCAGTTGAGTTGAGTGTTTGACAAGTGGGTGAGGAATTAGAGTCGGTAATTATTTCTATCAATAGACATGATCCAACATATAGGCTTGACTATGAGGGGGAATGTTGGAGTCTCACATCGATTAGGCACGTTCAAGCCTACTGGTTTATATAAGGGGGTAATCCTCTCATTTAACAAGGTCTTATTAGATGAGGAGTCAGCCCACCTCAAATTCTATCAAGAATTGAATCTAAAGTAAAACTATATAATTTATTCAAAAGTCACATAATCAAAATCAAAATCAAAATATAAAGCAAAATTTCCTTTGCAGCTTTCAGGAAAAGTATGATAAATAAAAATTTATCATAGGTGGAGGAATCTCTAGAGAAAGTCAGCCCAAGCCCAAGCCCAAGCCCACTCAATCCGTGAGGCTATTCAGCAGATAAGTGGGGGCATTTAGCATAACTCATTACAAAACTACTTCCTTCTTCAATCCTGAAACTTAACTTGAGTGTTTGCTAGAACATAACATAACAAAAGCTAACTGCTTCACAACTGGTAAGAGTCTATCTCTTGTTGTTTCTCACTTTTTTCGCTTGTTGGGTGCTTCAGTTTTGACTCTTTTATGTGCTTTGTAATTTCTATCTAAAGTGTCTTTTTTTAAAGGGAAATTGTTGGAGTCAAGTTGAGTTTAATGAAATGAAATAAGTTATTTTGTATTGAACAGGTGAAGAGTAAGGAGTGAAGATGGAAACTTTAGCTGTAAAGAAGTGTTTTTCACATGGGTTATCTGGTGTTGTTGCTGTTACTGTGCCTGCTCCAAGTTTTTGCTTCTTTGGGACCAATATGTGCAAGGTTTCGGGGAGTTTAAGAAAAGGAAGTGTCGGGTTGACTGTGCGTGGGGAAATTTTGACGAAGGTAAGAACTTTTGTCGTGGGGTCAAACCAAGTTTCTTCCTTGCAGACTCAAATGGGGGTTTGGGAGGAGCCTGATAATGGGAGTGATAGTGATGAGGAGGAGGAGGAGGAAATGGAAGAAACTGATTTGGATTTTGAGAGTGATTGGGAGGAAGAGAGAAATGGCGTTGATGCTGCTATGAGGGGTGATGAGTCTGCAACAAATCAGTATGAAGAGGAACTTGTGAAAGGTTTTTGTTTTTCGTCTCCCTTCTTATGCTTTGTATTTTTTGATGTCTGTTGTGTCTTGGTGTTCGTGTTCGTTGTTTTAAAAATGGAATTGGGTTTTGTGCTGTGTTTGTGAGCTCATGAAAATCTAGAGAGTTTAGAGGAAAAAATGACTGAAAACAACATTGCTTGTGTATTTTTTATTNATTGTAATAAGTTATAATTTTTTTAATTCCCGTCTTAAGGAAAGTTGCCTCCACATAATAATAATTATTTGTATATTGCAAAAAAAAAAAATATATGCTATGTTACATTAAAGGTTTATGATGAAATAAAATATTTATCTAAAGTTGTTTGGGACAATGATTTATGCTTGAGAGTTGTTACCAAATCTTCTAACTTGCGGGTATGTAATAACTCGCTAGGATGGACACCTTCTTGTTAAAGCTAAAATATTTCTAGCTTCTCAAGCATGTTTAGAGCTTCATGGCATGAAACTTTTTGCATTTCCATACTATCATCCTCAAGATTATTTCCTTTCTCTTCTTGTCTAATTGCAGCAATGATTTCTTCTTCAGTTAAAGCATATACGACTTGTTCTTATTTGGATGATCAAGGAAGACATTAATATCCATTCGATTAGTGTAGTGAAGTTGTCGAATCTAATCACTCAATTCTACAATGACTCTTCTAGTCTCCTCATCCATTTCATTTGTAACTTGCAATTCATTGACATTGGGGGCCCTAATTTTGCAGGGCTTAAAACAATTGATAATTATTTGTGGCTTCACATCAATTGACCAGGTAGTAACTACATTTACAATTCCATCAAGGATACTTATCTTTTCTGGTTCCAATACATGATCTTCTATCCGTTTCAAAAGTAAGCGATTAAAGCGCTGCCGATAATAACCTTTGAAATTTCTAATAATGCCTGCATCACATGGTTGGATTTTGGAAGTGCTAGTTGGTGGTAGGAACAGAACAGTTGTGTGATGAAGTGGGGGGAGATTCTCCTTTTTTCCATGTGCGGTACAATTATCCAATATAAGCAAGACATTCCTATCCAAACGGCTATCAAACCACTTAAGCCATTCCATAAAAAACAAAGATGTCATCCATGCATTTGAATTTGCTTGATACTTGCAATTGAGATTATCACGGTTAACATTATTAAAGCATCTTGGATTAAGAAACTTACCGATGCCCCAAAACGGAAGTTTGTCAGAGCCATCGCCATCGCCATTACAACAAATAGCAATTGTAATCCTCTCTTTGTTTTGCTTTCGACCCTCCAACTACTTTGTTGCAAGAGAGTTATCGACTTGCATTCGATAAAATAAGCCAGTTTCATCCATATTATAAATGTCCTTCCAAGCCCATTTGTCTAATTCCTCTCTTATTGATGGCAAACTAGCTTCAATTTTCTCCATATTAATTGAACCACTTTCCCCAAAATGACGAAAGGAATGAATTGCATGTCGTTGCTTGAACTTTTCCAACCATCCATTTGAAAATTCAAACGAGGTAGCTTTCGGATAGAGTTCCTTAGAAAAATATTTCCCTTCTCTTTTAACAATTCACCATTCATATTTACATGCTTTTGATGGCATACAAACCATTCATAGAGGGCAGACTCCATTGCTGGATACTTTACCATCTTTGAACGTTTTGTGTTTGGGTTCAATAATCCTTCTTCTTGAAGGAGGTCAGCTGATTGTTTGAGTGTCTTAGATATTGCTGCTTGTGATACCTTAAGATCATGAGTATCTTCTAACCACTTCACAAGATCTTTCTGCTTCCAACTAGGGTTTGATTCTTTCATTTTTGCACAATTCAACACGAATACTTTCGGTCAATTGAGTTCGTGTATTAACTTTGGGTGGCATGATTGATTTGCTAGAGGAAGAAGAAAGGTATCACTTGAATTGGTGTTAGATTTTATTGAAAACTTGATTGAATAAGTTGAAACATAACAACCCTATTTATAGCAAGCTAATCATAATTCTACTAGGATAAGTAAATAAGAAATCCTAATACTACTACTAAAACAGTGAATTGAAATCCTACTAATACTAAAACATGAATTGAAATCCTAGTACTACCAAAACATGAATTTTAAAATAGGAAATCAAGTAATATTAAAAGTAAATAGGAAATCCTAATACTACCAAAACAATGAATTGAAATCCTAATACTACCAAAACAATGAATTGAAATCCTAATACTACCAAAATATGAATTGAAATCCTAATACTACCAAAACATAAATTATAAAATAAGAAACAAGTAATATTAAAATTAAATAAGAAATCCTAATACTACTAAAACAATTAATTAAAGTTCTAATACATACTACTAAAACATGAATTATAAAATAAAAAATCAAAATAGTTTTTTTTGTAACTACACCTCTATTAAGTTATAACCTCCTTATAGTAATAAATTAGTTTGATCTCAACATTATGACTATAAAGAGATTTTACTGTATATATATATATATATTCTTGTTGTATTCTTTCTGTGAGTATCTTGAAGTACATAGGTAAAATTATCCATTTTAAAATACTAAATCCATAATATGAAATAAAGAGATAAATCATTCAATTATCAATTACTGATTAACAAAAACATTGGCAGAAAAAAAAAGTAAAAACGTTTGCAAATTGCAATTGTCTCTCAACTAAAAAAAAGTCTTCTTCAACCATCTTAAAAGGCCTATGACTTCAAAATTCATATCTCAAGACTCAAATCAGATATGAATCTTTCCAATTCTCTATTTTCAGATGTCTCTAACTGTCTGCTCAGGTTGTATGCTACTAAATGAGGAGTAAAATAATGATCAGCTATGTTAAACTATTAGAAGCAGAAAAAGAAACAATTTTGTTACTTTGGTGAAACTTTCCAGGTTGTATAGATTAATTATGTTATTGTTGTAGGAAAATTATTGGTTAAATTGACAAATGATACTAGACATTATGAATTCAAACGTGTACTTACTCAATACCCAAGTTTCATTATTTTGCAAAGACCCAATTATAGCCATAACTACGACACAGGATTCAATTCAAAATGAAATACCAACAAACTCAACATAATGCACAACCAATTTTCACGTAGTTATTCTTCTAATTAATGTATTACTTATGCTCTACTTTGTTCTGGTAACCGATAACACTCATTCATGGTTATCACTCACAAATCATGCATCACAAAACGAATCAAAACACGAAAATTTGAGTTATACTTTCTTGGGACATTATAGACATGTATAATATAGAGCTGGGTGGGAAACATAAGAAGTATGGTGCAGAACATTATATATGGGTAATCCTTGCAAAAATCAAATGATGGATAGACATGGGTCAAACGAAACAATGTTCAGCCAGTGCAGCAACAACTTTCCCAAAGGAAAGACAAAATAACACAAAAAGAACGAAAATACCCAACTTTAGTTCTAAGATACCATTCATAGCATTAGCACATGGGTCAAACGAAACAATGTTGGATTTAAAACATTATACACAAAAACATCACAGCACCCATAACAAATGAATTAAAAGAAGAAATGGGCTAAATATGGGAATTACCTTGCTGAATCGGGGGTGGACTAGTGATCATGGAGCAGCTGAAGGGTGAAGAATTGAAGCGTATGGGCAAAAAATCGTCTTGGGCCTTATCAAGCCCAAGCACGTAACATCTACAACATGGCTCAAGTCCATGGCTCAATCTTGGTTAGGCTCACGATAAGATCCACGTCACATGCTAGCCCAATGTGCTAACCTAATCCCTCACTGGTTGCACCATCCAAATTGGGCCTCATTATTAGCCCACCTAGGCCTAAGCCTATTGGCTCATGGAGTCATTTGACTCCTCCCCATTTGGCTCTTCTTTCACTCTTCAAAAGAGTAACTCTTTCCCACTTAGCTCCTCTTCGCTTTGCTCTCCTCCACTTGGCTCGGCTCATCCCCAAGCCACCTTAACTCCTTGCTACCCAAGTTGACTCATCCTGAAGGGATGAATGGATTCCAAAGCACCCCACTCACCATCCATGCCGACCGAAGCACTCGAACTGTCACTCTCGGATTGACTCATCCTGAAGGGATGAATGGAGACCAAAGCACCCCACTCACCATCCATGTAGGTCGAAGCACCCAAGCTGTCACACTCAGGTTGACTCATCATAAAAGGATGAATGGAAACCAAAACACACAAATAACCCCCCATGATGGACTCGACCCCCATGCCACACCTTATGACTCAGCATACACTGCTTAGTTACCAGCATGAGCAAAGCTGAGTGGAGTGGAGTGGTACATATAACAATTGACAAGTATTAATCACTGGCGAACTTCTTGCTCGACCAGCACTGTCCATTCATCAACAGGAGTCAAGCCAAATTAATGGGAGGTACATATCACCATATTGAAGTGACTCCATAAAACTTCACCCAAATCCGACGAACCAAGTCGAACGAACTTGACTCTAGAGGGCTATGATTTACACATTCTTACTCTTATAGAAGGAACAACATACTCTCGAAGATACTCATCCTCCCAACTCAGGTTGGTTGAGCGAAATTTCACGTTCCTCTTGACGTAGATTGGTCGAGTGAACTTTTATTCATCTCCCAACTCCGATTGGTCAAACAGACTCCTCCTAATTCAGGTTGGTTGAGCACGCCTCTATACTCCCCTCGACTCTAGTTGGCCAAGTAAGCTTCATCTTCACTAAGTTTTGCATATCGAGTCGAGGCCTACCACCTCAAATGACAAGATGAACTTGTAACATAACATTTCGAATAACGGTCAATCCGACCTGGCAAGTTGCTAGCACTGACCCACTCAGTCCACACTCATTCGACTAAATCTGCACTCTAAGCTAAATACCCTATAACTAGAGAGTGGGGGCTAACTATATGGGCAAAAAATCATCTTGGGCATTATTAGGCCCAAGCGTGTAACATCTACAACATGGCTCAAGACCATGGCTCAATCCTGGCTAGGCCCACGATAAGATCCACTTCACGTGCTAGCCCAATGTGCTAACCTAATCCCCCACGGGTTAGACCATCCAAATTGGGCCTCATCATTAACCCACCTAGGTCCATTGGCTCATGATATCTACTAAGGATCC